ATAGTACTAGATCTTGAATTATTGCATGCGAATCTATTCATGTGATCATGTGATATATGCGCGTGTGTGTATATATACATATATATATATATATATATATATATGATCTTCCTATGTATCAGCCACTGTACTATGAAGGGAGCTTATCTAAAATTACTCTTACCATTTTCCATAACTCAAACATAATATATGTGTGTATATATATATATATATATACACACATGCTTTTTTTCAACAATGAATTACGAAAGTCTGAAAAAATACAACGAATTGAGAGAATCAAAATATTTGTTATTAGATTTACTAACTAATTCACTTTTTATTTATAAACTGATCATTACATACAATTCCTCTCGAGCTATCATATATATACACCCATATATATATATATATATATATATATATATATATATATATTCTCTAGAACGTTAGATTAATTAAGAACAAAATATTAGCTACAACTATATATATACATACATATATAAATATATGTATCTATAGAGTGACACAAAATTAAAACAAGACATTATAATTATATATATATGCTGAAAAACTTGACCAAAAGAGATCAAAGATGAATCAATCAGAAACTTATCTAAAATATATCTATACATATATATATATATATATTTAAATTAGTGAATATTAATTTTTCAAAATTAAATAATCCAGTTGATCACCGGGAGATCGATCAGATTAGTTCTGAGTCGGGTTTGGGACACTCGGTGGCGCTTTCCTCAGGCTTGGCTCTACAACTTTCTTGGGCTCTTTCCCGGCAGCTGCTCCGGCGCCGAAAACCACCTTGTCTACTAAACTACTTGCAGAGAAAGACCCCGCCATTGACGACGATGACGTCAGCATCCTCCTCGTCCTTGACGGGTTCCTCTCGTGGTGTTTTCTGCTACTGATAATCGTTACTGTAATTTCTTCTTCACGATGATCAAAGAGACATACCGAAGAAGAGATGATGTTAATGACAGCTAGGTAAAAAGAGCTGTAGCT